CCCATGCACCAAAGATAGCTTAAGTCTTATCCCAGACTGCATCACCTGCAAGATGATGAGAACTTGCACAGGAACTTGCAAAAACTGGTTGCATTAAAAAAAAAATTAAAATACAACCAACAACACCCGTAACAACCAAGAAGAAAAGGAGGAAGACTCACAGCTTATTGTACAGCCTAAATACCATCAGCACATCACTCAGAAAGGATCCAAGCAAGGTATCAGGGCAGAAGCACCCACCCTCCATGTTACAGCATCCTGCTCTGGGACCAACCCACTGCGGCAATGTGGGCTTTCCTGGGACCCTCCAAACTGCAATCTGGCAGGATGGCATGCAAACTCCTGGTGCTAGGTATGTCTGTCCCTTCTTTATCCCCTCAGCATTGAAGAGGCCCCTGATGACAAAGCAGTGCAGCTTTGTTGCTGAGTTCACACTTTGTCTTTTCAACTGTCCTTTTCCTGGCCCTACCAAGTGCTGAAGCACATCAGCTTCCCTGGGACCAAGCAGCAGAGATCTGAAGCTCATTCTGGAATTACTTTGCAAATATCTCATCCATACGATAGCTCCACTCCTGGAGAATCACAGCCTTCCACATGACTTTGAGCTTGGGGCTTTCCAACAAAAGCCAGTTTGTATTGGTGTTTTTCCTCCCTCTTTCTCCAGGAGTGCTGAGGTATTTGAGCACAGACAAACATCTAGCAGCCCAGGCAGTAACAGAGCTCCAGCATTTGTGGTGACACTGTGCTGCAGGAGACTGTGCACAAAGCACACACATTCTCCATTTGACACAGGGAAAGTCTGAGGGTTTTTTTTTGTTTTGTTTTGTTTTGAAGGCCAGATTTCAATCGCCCTCAGTCATTTTCTCCAGCTTAGAACCCAGATGTTAATTGTAGGTATTTCATCTCGGCAGGGCCGTGAAGCCAGAGCCAGCCCAGCAGAAATCCCACACCGCCAGGCTCTGCAGCAGTTGGCACTTATTGCCTGAATGGAAAGAGCAACAACCAAGCAGAAATATTTGAACTCCTCTTTGTTCCTGGTAGGGCTCTTGCAGCATACACGAGAGCAGATTGCATTTGTTTTGGCTGGGTTGGAAGAAGCAATGCAGAGTGCCCAGGTATGAGCTGAATGCAGCATGCAACAGAGGCAGTTGTTGTCTTGGCTGTACCCACATGCACAGGGCTGGAGCACCAGCATGGATGCTTTTATCAGCCAGGGAGAGCTGCTTCCTGGGGCCTTATCAGGCTGCAGGTCAAGGATGTGTGTTTATCGGGACGAGCAACTTTGGCAGTAAATCTTCTGCCTGTGGGTGTGCACAACTTAATCTGCTACCAGAAGCCACCAGTGACATAAAAACATTTGAGCAGTCCAGACACAGACGTATCTCAAATCTGCTCCAGTTTGACCACTAGAACAAAGCACCAGGCAAACAGCAGCACCTTCAGAGCAAGTGCATTTTTCTGCCCTTATTTCAGAGCACAGCACTGGAGGGCTCAGCTACATGACCCATTTATCCCCACTTTCACATCCATCTGCAAGTCCAAACATACAACACCGTTGCTTGTAGGGCCCATTTGCCTTTACAAGCAGTTCCAGCAGGGTCGCCTTGTATTTGTTGCTGTGGAACCCCATGCAAGACACTCACCCTCCCCAAGAAGCCCAGGAGCAGAAGCCCTACCACCTGCAGCCCCAGAGGTTTTGTTCCACTGATAGCACTGCTGCAATTGCAGCAGCCTGTGGAAAAACAATTGCAGCTGCTGGTCAATGAGTCGGACTGCCTGGCAGGCAGCCCAGGGAGACCAGAAAGAAGGGGACAAAAAAATGCCCTCCATCACACACTGCTACAGAGGCCCACCTTCTAGCTGGCTGCCCCAAACCCAGGATTTCTGGATCTCTGCAACAGGAAGGGGCTGCTCATCTATCACCATTAGAGTACAGGTCCTGGATACATCATTTGCAGCTGAGTTCATTTCCTTTTTTTCCCCTCTCCTTATTGCTCACCCTGACCAAATTTAGTGTGGTTCGCTAATTAGTGCATTTCAGTTTTCATTCTGCCATGTAAGAAAATCCTCTCTACATCCTGATTGTAAGAGGAAAGAAGCGAAGGAGAGATCTCAATAGCATCTCTACCATTCCACCACAGATGGGCTCACCCAGATGCTGCAGCTGCACAAAGCAGTCCTGTGCTGCAGCACTAGGAACAGCAACCCAAACCTCCAGAAGTTCAGTGGGAAGATGGATAATCATCAATACTGAATTATTCTGCAGCGTTTGTCCAAGGACTCCATGCTTCTCTATGCCGAGTTCAAGTGATGCCAGGGCCTTGCCACAGCCAGGAACAGCAAGGTGCTTTCCCTTTGCTGTCAGCAGCACAGTTACACCCCAACAGCTCAGCATACACCTGCAGAGCCCAGTCCATCCCAAACAAGGCCAGAGGTAGCGTGCACATGAGCACACGCAGCAAGGACAGGCTGGCAGCCACGTGGCCCTCAGAGTCCGCTGGCAGGTGTTTATTTGCTCACCCTGGTAACACAGAAAGGCAAGGAGGAAGCAAGTTTGAATTACAATTGAAAGCTGTAATTGCATGGAGGGGCATGGCAGGAGCATGGCCCCTACACCTACAGCAGCACCCGGGGTGAGGAGGCCTGACCCGGGCGCCAGCAGGATGTGCACAGTCACCAGATCTCTGCATGCAGAAAAGCATCACATCCCGTCAATGAGATGCTGCTCAGGGGAAGCTCAGAGGCAAAGCAGCACTGGGGCCATCGCCCTTCCCCACGGGCAGCCCAGCATGGATCAGGGTGCAGCTGATGGATGAGCCACTGCAGTGACAGCGCATGCAGACCACGGTTTTCCATTGCATCACCGCTACCTTGCTTGACCCAAAGGTTAGGAATAACAGTCTGCTGGGCTGCCAGAACAAAGCTATTTCGGGACAGGCTCCGGGCTGACTCCCTGCACAGGGCAGCTCTAAGGCAGGCCCAGCAGCAGTCCCAGGAGCAGGAGAGTGCTGGGACATGGCTTCACTGCTGCAGCACAAGGCATATCAAGTGCCCAGCACGTGCTCCATTGGACAGAATTAGCACGGCCTTGCAGAACGTTGCCCACCTGAGCATGGCTTTTGCTTAAAGAGGGCTGGGCAAACAGGAATTCTCCCAAATATTTGGGACATCAGAAGGAGATTCACTGCTAAACTGTTCTATCCTGCTTCAGCTTCTGCACACCCATTTCCAATGCAGCCTGGGAAAGCAGCTGCTGCCCACAGCTGGACAAAGGTCTTAAACTACACCACAAACATCTGTCAGATCTCACATCATGGGCATCTCCCTCCGAACAGCTCCATGGAAGCAGGTAGGGAAAAAGAGCAGATGGACACAGCACTGGAAAAAGGGACAGTTAAAGCAGAGAATTGCTGTAAAACATCTTTACTTTTGTGTGCTCAGAAAAACAGAGCAGTTACAAGCTTGGGTTGAGCATAATGATAACATTTCAGAGAAGTTGAAGCACAACAATGCAAGTAAGTTGGCAAAGACTTCCATGGCTGCTGTAGAAATCTCTTCCCACAGCTCTGTCAGAAGACAGGCTTTTGTGGAGCCTCCACAGTTCTTCCCAAGCCCTCCTGGGCTGCAGTTAGCCCATTATTTGGCAGCTTCAGAAACAAGCAAAACCATTCTACAGTTCTGCCCCCAAGTGATGTGAATGTGGGCAGTACGTAGCCCATCAACTCAGAGCAGCAGGGTGAGTACCCCAGCACAGAGGAGCTGCAGGGTGCAAAACAGTCACACAACTAGTAACGATCAATGCCCACATACCACCCAACACCATGATTTCCTATTCCCCTGTCCAAAGCAGCCTCAGATTCAGAGAAGCCATCAATTTCTCCAAACTGTTTGGAGGAGGGGGACATATTGTTACTGAGTGGCCCCTATATGAGCTCCCTGGTCTGTTCCACAGGCAAAGCATGCCAGGGCCTTCCTGGCTCAGCTCTCTCTGCATTACAGCTGAGCTGGTGATCTGACATTTCCACCCTTTGAAAGTCAACATACAAACAGGCTTCTGCAATCACAGCTGGTGCTTCCACCTCCAAACCTCCTTTTAACACATCAAGTAACTGATCTCAGCTAAGACCCTGAGCTTTCCAGCTGCACCACCTGTGAGCTGGTGTTGCTCATCAGACACAGGGTGGAAAGGCTTCTCCCTAGAATGCACATTTCCTCACATGAATCCCAAAGAGATGTCACCACAAACCAAGCAGCACAACCCAGAAATCTTGCTGCAATCCCTTGCAGAGCTTGTGGAGTTCCATCCCCACCATAACAGAACAGCTCTGGTGCATATGAAGTGCTAAGTACTGGTGAGCTGCTCAGAGCAGGCTGACTGCTGCTCCAGCAACTGCCAGGTCTTGGGGTCGTTTTTTGACTGTTGGAGGTGTGCATCCCCAAGCTCAAAGCTGTTTTAATTAAAAAAAAAAAAAAAAAAAAAAATTACAAAACACAACCAACAACAGAAAACCAAACCCAGATCCTTCCTGTATCACTGAGGGACAAACCCACCAGAGCTGGCAGTGTAACACTGAGTTGAGGTTCTCACTGCTGACAGGACTATAAATCTCACCAGAGGTTTAGGAGTTTTACTTTATTTCCAACTGAAGACCAGAAAACTGCATGGAGGATGGGGGGGGGGAGCTGTGCTGGCAGCTCCTGCAGTGGCTTTGTAGCTCCTGGCCTTGCAATTTCAACTTGTACTGCAGAAGATTCTGCTTCCCAGCTAACAGCTCCAGCACATGCCTACAGAAATCCCCCACGTACCATTCAGCTTTAATGGCCTTTCCTATTCTTAGCACCAGATTGTATTCTCAAAGCATGTTGCTCTGCCATGTACTCCCTGCTTTTGGCTGTCCTATACTCCTCCCTAGGCTGTACCAGCCCATGAGGGCCAGCCAACTGCCCCACACAGAAATGGCAGCAAAAAGCAAATAAGTGATCCACAACACTGAGCTTACCAGGAACTGCTGGAACACAGAGAGCCAGGACAAGCTACTTGCACAAGGCATCCCCCAGGCTTGCTGCTGGGTTCAGCCTGGTCCCACACCACGTGCACCTGGCAAAGGAGATGGAAAAAGCGAAGTGGTGGGGCTGGAGGCAAGGCTGGGATTTGTCTCCTACAGAGTCACCTGAGAAGCAAAAAACCATCTCTAAAAGCTATAGCAAAGCAGAAAAATGCTACAAGCACCTACCCACCTGCTCATATAGGGCATTAAGCTGAGCTGCTCCACCTGAGATATGGGGCTGAGCCCCAGCACCTGCTCTCCTGCCCACAGTTGTGCAAGGGCAATTGCTGCTTAAACCTGGGGGAGAGAACTTTCATCCTTAAGCAATCAGAAGGACTCGCTTTAGCAAAACCTCCTGGGTAAGGGCCGAGTGTTCCCTTCCCCGGGGCTGCGGGAGGCAGCAGCCCATGTTACACACACACCTGATGTGCGATTTGAGTTAGAGGACAGAGGAAACCTTCTCGCAGCTTTATTGTGTTAAGACGTTGAACACCATGTCATGTCTGAGATTGTTCTTAATGTTATTATTCTTACTTTTAAGTCAGACGTTGCTATAGCTTTGGCTTTTGAAAAGTGCTTCTGCCCACCTTACTTTTTCATCTTTTTCCCTTTTTCTTTTCGTTTTTCTTTTTTCTATTTTTTTTTTCTCTTCTCTCTGTCCTCCCCGCCCCGCTCCGCTCCGTGCTGTGCCGGTTGGAGCGGGCAGTGCCGGGGCTCTGCTGCCCTCCGGCGGCCGCACGGCTCCGTCCCGGGGATGGACACACGGACGGAGCCCAGGCAGCCCCCCTGCTTGCTGCTCAGCCCCGCCGCTCTGCTCGCTTTTGGATCAAAAGCACCGTGGCTTTGGTCCCCCTGCAGCATCCCCACGAGGGGAAATGTCAGGGTGGCTCTGCCCAGCGCAGTGGCACGATGACCCAGTCCACCTTAGCAGGTTTGGCCTTGGTATGTCTGCATCCCGCTGGATCTGGAGGAGCCATTCTGCCACCTTGCCCTCCACCGGCACCAAAAGGATGTCCCGGCACAGCCGAAACCTTGGGTTCCTTCCCCACCCATTGCTGAGAGCTCTTGGTACAACGGTGTCTTTGTGCTGTGGACATCTGCTCCCGGTGCCCCGGCCCTGCAGCTGTGACCCTTGGGCAGCACCAACACCGCTGGCCCCAGTCTGAACCAATGACCTCCCAGGGAGACTCTCTGGCTGCTATTTCCATCCCGGGGAGTGTGATCATCTCACATCAGCACCCAGGGCTCACAGAGCAGTATGGCAGCACAGCAGGCGTCCCGGTTGGCTTTTGTCCCACTGTGTTGGGTACCAGCAGCATCACAAGTGTGCTGCAAGACAGGAGCTTGCACTGGAGGCTCAGTAGGATATTTTTAGTGTCAGCAGGGACCAACAGGGGACAATGGCGGGCCTGGTGTGATCATCACCCAGCATGGTTACATGCTCTGTGGTTGACTGTGCATCACTTGGGGTAGATTTCAATGGCTTTACACTCTGAACCCAAGGATACATTCAATAAGACATTTACTTGGCATAGAACAGGGCTGGCCCTCCCTGCCTGCCCTCAGCTTGAGCAGCACATGGACACACTGGGACAGCTCATCCTTCAGTGCAGAACTACCGAGTGCCCTGTCCATTCAACCATGAGTCACAATAACAATATTTCGTACTCATCTTCTCGAGGGGAACATTAAAAGCCACTGAACTGTTATTTATTATCTGCAGCCAGAGTCAGGAGGCAACTGTGTGCTCCTCCTGTACTGATGGATGTGTCCAAAGGGACCTCAGAAAGAGCCTGATCCAGAACTGCATCATTGAAAGGATGCTACCATCTGAGCAGGCAGGGATGCACCGGCGCAGCAAAGACCACCCCAGGCGGTCACTGTGGCCTCACTGTACAAGGGAGACCAAGTCAAGGACCATCCTAAAGCAGGTCTTGATCTCACATTTCACTCCAAACCTGTGGCTGAGGCACCAGGAGGAGCTTAAGGCTGATTGCATGCATTCCTCCTCCCCACAGCCCGGCCTCTGTGGTGCATCCAGCTATGACAGCAACACAAATCCATCCATTTCAATCCCTCCCAAAATGTAAAACAGCATGAGGCAGAAGCTCCAAGAGCAGAGGAATTCCGGTGCAGGGATGAGGCTGTTGGGGTGACGTCATGGTGTCCTGTTGATAAGGCTGTGCCCAAGCCTGAGCAGCCAGCACCTTACTGAAGGTGGCAGGCTTGATCCAGCAGAGGACTGGGAGCTGTGTGTGTGTAGGCAGCCAAGGTTTATTAGAGAAACTGTTAAACTCAAAAGACTTGGATACAAAGATAAGCTGTGTTGCCTTCTGAAAGGCAAAGCTGATTCTGACCTGTAGAATGGACACAGGTTACCCAGACATCAGTTACCATGGTGGACTGGACAATAAAACAATCACCTTGCAGTTAATCTTCGTGGTGTCAGTTTCTTTCTACCCAGTACATCCAATGGGATGTGTATGTAATGGCAGCACAGCCCGTCCTGCTGCCACCACTGTCCCCACTCAACCACAGCAGTACTTCCCTCCCTCCTCTGCAGTGTTTGGCATCCAAAGCTACACATCTCTATGGAACAGTTCTAAATGCAACGCTAGGCTGCTTTCATCTTCAGCTGGATGGGGGAATAAGAAGGTGCAGAACTCAAAATCTGTTATTAGACCTTTAACTAAAATTAAAAAGAAAAACAAACAAACTAAAAACAGCCACTGTTCACTTCTCATGGAGAATTCAAAACCTTCACCAGCATGTTCCTAGGAATCTTTTTCTGCTTGCAACACTCAGCTGCACGGGATCGCATCCACCCGTCGTCCTGGAGCACCACTGTCCTCTCCGTGTGGTGAGGTGTCATAGGACCACACACAGCAGTGCTGCAGCCCAGAGCAGCGTGAGGCCGGCCGGCAGTCTGAGCACAAAGCAGGCCCGCAGAGGCTCGGAGGCCGAGGTGCAGGAGCAGACCTCATAGCTGTTCTCTGAGCGGCTCTGGTCGTGCTGCCCGGGCTTGGAGCGTGCTCCAATCCTGCTGCTGCCCGCTGCCTCCGGGGCGTCCGCCTGCATGTCGCTGCACACCAGCCAGTCCCTGGCGATGGACTGGGGGTAGCCAGGCTCTGCTTCCAGCTCGCTGTCCAGCACTCGCCAGTACTCCTTACCCCTGAAGAAGTAGCTTGCACCTGGGAAAAGAGATGTTTCCTTTACCAACACTTTTTTTTGCCCAGATTTTCACGCATCTAGCTCTAAATCCAACCACACTCTCAGTGAAGCGCAAACCAGCAGATATCAGGAGACAAGTCACCACAGAACAACATCAGCTGTGTTCTGCTAGTGAAACTGAGTTATGTGGCACCCAGGCGCTTTTGCTCCCTGCCTGCAATGATAGTGTTGCTCAGTGAGCAGAGGAAGCTGCGGCTCAGAGCCTGCCTCTCTGCAGCTTTTGGATGGAGGAAGTGCCAGCCGACATGGGACATGGGACTGTATCCCAGAGCATTGCTTTTTTCCTCACTTTTTGGACCCATCTCACAGACTCACCATCTGACCACCTCATAGCATCATCTAAAGGGCTCGGTATTCCCTTCCATGGAATGGTCTCTGAGGGGTACCCGGCATCCATCCTCCTCTCGTGGTCGTCGTAGCGCCAGCAGAGGTTGTCCTTAAAGAAATAAGTCTTGTCATTGTGGGCCCAGGAGAAGGCAGCATCGATCCCTCCCGGCGGCAGCCCGAAGTCCGAGATGGGCCGTGGGTATCCTTCCTCCACGTTGTTGTCCTTGAACACCCAGTATCTGTCCCCTGAGGAAAGGAGAGAAGCGTGGAGAACGATCACATCAGTTTCGCAGCCGGGGCTGGCCTTCCCTGCAATGAACCAGTACTTTGTTACATATTGCCATGACAACCCTCTGCTGGGCTCTTGGCACCAGATGGGGTCAGGGGGAAGCAACCCGCTGGGACAGCTGCTGAGCTGGAGCTGGGCTGCCCAGCTGGGGGTCCTCATGGTCAGAGAACAGGTCCTCATCCCTCCTCTCCTACTTCACATCCTGCCATGGGGACAGGCACTCTGTCAGCATGAGGTCTCTGGGGACCTGATGCATCTGCAGCACTCTGGGAGACACCTGGCCTGCTTTAAAGGGCAGGCTTTTCCCTTCATTTTCTAGAAAACGTGAAGAAGCACTTAAACAGCAGCAGAGACTCAAAAGCCAGAGTAATTTGTGTGCTTTGGTTTGTATCCAGGGATCGATGAAACGATGCTGGAGAGTGAGAATGAGGCAGTGTTTTATGGCTGGAGAGTAAACCTCTCGTTCCATCATCACGGGCACGATGAAGAGCAGCACTGAGGGCTGTGTGGGAGGGCAGGGGGAAGATAAGGGGGCAGTCTGGATCCAGCATGCATTGAGGGCTGGGGAAGGCATGGCCCTGCTGAGAGGTCTGATGGGATCCCAGAGTCCCCAAGGGAAACACTTCCCTGAACACCAAGGTTGTGTGAGATCCTCTACTGAGCCCTGTACAGCCTGGCTCTGGTGATTCAGCACTTCTGAAATCAGTAATTCACCCCTGCTTGCAGCCCAGCAGCAGACAAAATGCAATTTCCAGCACCGCCAACTCCATGGCTGCTGCCTGCCTGCAGGGCCCTGTGCTGGCACAGGAGGGACATGCTGGGGCAGTGGCATCATGCAGCTTCAGCCATCGCCGTGGCACACCTGGGATGCTCAGAGGATATTGGTTTAGGACGTGAGAGCTAACCTCTCTCCTCCAGCTCTTGCAGGAGAAACTGGAGAGCTCTTTTTTTTAAAAAAAAAAAAAAAAGAGAGAGGATTATATCATTTATGGTAAGAAAAAATGAAGTAGCAGAAATATAGCTAGCAAAATCAACCTCTTCAGGTTCTCATTTGTGTCCCTTCTGTGATTTCTTTTTAAAAAGACAAAAGGCAGGCTCTGTAAGGTGTGAGCAGAGGGTGTTTTATCCTTCTGTTTCACTCTCAAAAAGCATAGATTTCCATTAGGTTTGGCTGAAGTGTGATTTCCCCCACGTCCTGCAGGACACTCTGCCTGCCTTCCCCTGGTGCCTCTCGCCCCGGTGTGGGCAACACCTGACCTGTGCTGGGAGAAGGTGAGCCCTGGGGTCTCTGCAGGAACAGAGCCATGCTGCATGGCCCTGTACTGGGGGCACACACCGTTGCTCGCTCTCACCTTTGAAGAACACAATCTTGTGGTCGCTGGTCCTCTCATAGACGGCGTCCACGCTGTCCAGGTTGAGGGGCAAGCCCCGCCAGAACCGGTGGATCTGCGCCGGCTGGAGGGAGACCAAGTGCTTATTGCGGGTCAGTCTCCAGAAGTACTTGCCTGGAGGGACAGAGGGCATTACTGACCTACCCCAGTGCCCACCGCCGTGCAGGACGGGCCGGCACCACGCCATGCATCGGCAGAGGGAAGCGAAGCGTGCGAGACAGGAGCCGCGGGCTTTACAGCAGCAGCTGCTGGCACTTTGTGTTCCTGGCAGCTCTTAGAAGAAATCCCCCTTCTGGGGGATCAAAACAACCCCCCAGCACTGTGCTGCCTAGGACTCAGCCTGGCTTTCTGCAGGGTGCTGATGGTGCTTTCACCCCAGAGGGCTCTGCACACTGAGATCCTGATTTGGAGCAAGAAGTCTGAGAGCGAACCCACAGCTCTGCCCCGTGTTTATTACTGCCCATTAGAAATGACCGTGTGTTATTTACATCTGCTCTCGCACAGGTTCCCAAGGGAAACGAGCAACAGAAAGCAGAGATGTGCCTTCAGATTGGTATTCAGCACATTCAGCGCTTTCTCCGGAGCTGGCAGATTGTGACACTGTCTTTCAAAATGTTATGGAAATTGGATCCTGGCCTAATAACGCAGGAGGCAAAATTCTAACGCTTAAACATCTGCAGCGAGGGGTTTTTATTATAATTACAAGGATTTATATCATATTCTTGTTCTTCTGCTCCAGTTTGCGTATTTGCTCTATTTGACTGAGACCTACAAATGAATAATACATTCAGATGTGGTAGGAATTGCCATAATTATAGATTCTTTTTAAGAACGTTAAAAAGAAGAGTATTCAGATTTGGTGGCATTGTACATCTATGGAAATGCTTGTAATTAAATAAAGATGATCTCTGCATCTCTAATTAGAGAGACGCTAGAAAAAAGATGGATTTTCACTTTTTTTTTTTTTAAAGAAATCCATCTCAACGTAATTCCTTCTCTTGTAGGCACACATCTGAGCTTCTGAGAGCTGTGTGCTCATTGGCACAACTAGGGAAAGCCTAAGTGCTTTTGACTTGATTGTCCTGTCCCAGCAGGGCTCAGCAGGGTGCAGCTGCAGCCAGTGAGATGCGCAGCAATGCTCAGGGGCAGCTGTGCTCAGGGCTCTTGGCTATTTCTGTTGAAAACTATCAGGAAAATAAGATGAGAAAGGTAGCTGTAGCAATGAATTCTTAATATGATGGCCCCGCTCTGCCCATGCTCGTGCCTTGTCGCAGCCAAGCCTGCTATCCCGAGTGCTGCAGTTGGTTGGACAGTATCAGCCAAAGCCAGGCACGGGGGAACGGCTGCCATCCGCATGCAGAAATACAACAAAGGAGAAACTCCCAAACCCCATGTTTGTTTAAAGAGCTTGATTTAAAACCACCCTCCAAGCTGGCAAACTGAGTAGGATTAAAGCCAAGTGTGAACTCCTGCCATCCCGAGTGTCTCGTTTTACATGGATGACGGGCTGAGGCAATTGCTTTCTTTAATACGAGGTGATTTTGATTCCAGCTGCGTACCATGCTCTCAGTACTTCAGATGCCTCTGGCAAGATAGCTGCCTGCAAACACGCACACAGGCCAAAGTTGTTCCAAAACTTCAGAAATTTGCAGTCAGGCACTGAAATCAAAGCAAACAGCATTGCAGCAGTGCGGGGAACCCATCACTGCTTTCAGTAGGGAAAGTCCTCAGGAGTTCGGGTTGCTGTGTTGGATGGCACTCAGCGATGCTTCTCTCCAGCCAGGGAACCAGCCATGTTAGCTCAGAACACAATGTCCAGCGGTGGATGGAGCTCATCCCTGGGGCTCACCGCAGTCCTGCCCAGGAGGAGATGTCCCAGCTCCCTGCTGCAC